CTTAACAGACATCCATAGAACATTCCATCCCACAATACCATAATACATATTTTTCTCAAGGACACACAGAACATTCTCCAAGACATAATATATGTTACGCCACAAAACAATTCTGAACAAATTTAAGAAGACTGAAGTCATTTTAAGTATCATTTCTGACCACAATAGTATGAAAGTAAAAATCAATTATAGGAGGAAATTTGAAAAATTCACAAATATGTGGAAATTAAACAACAGGCTCTTGAACAATCAATGGATCAAAGAAGAAATCAAAATAGAAATAAAAAAATCTTGAGATAAGTGAAAATGGAAATACAGCATACAACAACTTATGGGATACAGTGAAAGCAGCTCTAAAAAAGATATTTTCAGCAATAAATGTCTACATTTAAAAAGGAGATTTCAAATAAATAACCTACTGTTACACCTCAAGGAAGTATAAAAAGATGAACAAACTAAGCCTAAAGTTAGTAGGAAGGAAATGATAAAGATCAAAATAAAAATAAACGAAATAGAAACTCAAAAAGTAATAGAAGAGATCAATAGAACTAAGAGTTTATTTTTGAACAGATAAAATTGGAAAAACTTTAGCTAGAATAACTAAGAAAAAAGGAAGACTCAAATACTGTAAATAAAATCAGAAATGAAAAAAGACATTGCAACTGATGTCACAGAAATACAAAGGATCATAAGTGACTATTCTGAACAATTACATGCCAACAAATGGGATAACCTAAAAGAAATGGATAAATTCCTAATGCCATAAAACCTATCAAGACTGGCTTATGAAGAAATAGAAACTCTGAACATACTAATAACAGGTAAAGAGATTGAATCAGTAATAAAAAATTAGGACCTGATGGCTTCACAGCTGAATTCTATCAAACATTTAAAGAAGAACTAATATGAATCCTTATCAAATTCCTCCAAAAAATGGAGTAGAAAATACTTCCAAACTAATTTTACAAGGTGAATTTACCCTGCTACCAAAGCCAGACAGGGATACTTTAAGAAAAGAAAATTACAGGCCAATATCACTGATGAACATAGATGCAAAAATCCTCAACAAAATACTAGTGAACTGAACTCAGAAGTACATTAAAAGGATCATTCACTAAGATAGAGTGATATTTATCCCTGGGATACAAGGATGGTTCAACCTATGTAAATTAATAAATGTGACACACCACATTGAAAGAGTGAATAATAAAACCCAACTGGTCATATCAACAAACACAGAGAAAGCATTTGACAAATTTCAACATCCTTTCATGATAAACATTATCAGTAAATTAGCTAAAGAAGGAATGTATCTCAACACAATAGAGGCCACATATGACAAACCCATAGCTAACATCATATTCAATGGTAAAAAGTTGAGACCTTTTCATCCTAAGATCAGGAATGAGACAAGGATGTCCACTCTTGCCTCTTCTATTCAACATAGTACAGGAAGTCCTAGCCAGAGCAATTAGGCAGGAAAAGGAAATAAAAGGTATGTAAATTGGAAAGGAAAAAGTAAATTGTTCCCATTTGCAGATGACATGATCATAAGTATAGAAAACTCTAAAGATTCCTCCAAAAAACTGTTAAAACTGATAAATAAATTCAGTAAAGTTGCAGGATACAAAATCAACACACAAAAATCAGTTGCATTTTGATACACTAAAAATGAATTATCTGAAAAAGAAATATAAAATACTTGGGAATAAATTTAATCAATAAGGTGAAAGATCTATACACTGAAAACTATAAGACACTGGTGAAAGAAATTGAAGAAGATACCAATTGAAAGATATCCTGTGTTCATGGATTGGAAGAATTAATATTGTTAAAAATGTTCATACTACCCAAAGTGATCTATAGATTCAATGCAATCCTTATCAAAATTTCAATAGCATTATCACAGAAATAGAAACAACAACCCTAAAATTTGTGTGGAATCACAAAAAAACCCACATAACCAAAGTAATCTTGAACAAAAAAGAGCAAAGCTGGAGGCATCATACTACCTAATCTTAAAATCCACCACAAGGCTCTATTCATCAAAACAGCATGATACTTTCCCCAAGCAGATATATAAGCTAATGAGGCAGGATAGAGAACCTAGAAATACATCTACACATTTATGGTCAGCTGATCTTCTACAAAGGTGCCAAGAACACACAATGGTGAAAGGATATGCTTTTTAACAAATGGTGTTGAGAAAACTGGATGTTCACATGCAGAAGAATAAAACTTGCCCCTTATCTCATTCCATATAGAAACATTAATTAAAATGAATTAAAGACTTAAACATATGACATGAAACTGTAAAACTACTAGAAAAAATATAGGGTTTTTGACATTGGTTTTGGTAAAGATATGCTGGCTACAACCCCCAAATCATAGGCAACACAAGCAAAAATAGACAAACAAGTTTGCATCAAACCAAAAAGCTTATGCACAACAAGGAAAATAATCAACATAGTGAAGAGACAACTGAAAGAATGGGGGAATATGTTTGTGAACCATATATCTGACAAAGGGCTAATATCCCAAATATATAAGGAACTCACACAACTCAATAGCAATAAAACAAATAACCTGGTTAAAAAATAGGCAAAACCTATATAAACATTCTCAAAAGAAGACATACAAATGGCCACAGGTATATTTTAAAAAGCTCAACATCACTAATCATCAGAGAAATTCAAATTAAAACTGTAATGATCTCTCACCTCACATCTGTTAGAATAGCTATTATCAAAAAGACAGGCCAGGCATGGGGGCTCATGCCCTATAATCCTAGCACTTAGGGAGGCCAAGGAGGTAGGATCACTTGAGGCCAGGAGTTGGAGACCAGCCTGAGGGAGACTCCATCTCCACAAAAAATAGAAAAATTAGCCAGGCATGGTGGCATGCACCTGTAGTTTCAGATACTTGAGAGGCTGAGGAAGGAGGACTGCTTGAGCCTAGGAGTTTGAGGTTGCCATGAGCTGTGAGGAAGCCACTGCATTCTAGCATGGGTGACAGAATAAGACCCTGTCTCAAAAAAAAAAATATGAAAGATGACAAATGTTAGTGTAGATGTGGAGAAAAGGGAACATTTGAACACTGTTGATGGGAATGTAAATTAGTATAACCATTATGAAAAATAGTATGGAGGTTCCCCCCCCAAATAAAAAATACAACTACCATATGATATATCAATTTTATTTCTGGGTATACATCCAAAGGAAACAAAATCAGTATTGAAAATGTATCTGTTTGCACAATAGCCCAGATGTGAAATCAACCTAAGTATCCATCACTGAATGAATGGCTTGAGAAAATGTGGCATATGTACACAAAGGAATACTATTTAACCTTACAAAAGAAGGATATCTTGTCATTTGTGACAACATGTATGAACCTGGAGGACATTATGTTAAATGAAATTAGCCAGGCACAGAAAAACAAATGCCACATGATCTCACTTATATGTGAAATCTAAAATAAAATAAAATAAAATAAAATATTAAACTCACAGAAGCAGAAAGTAGAATGGTGGTTACCAGGGACTGGGGGGAATGAGGAATTGGGGAGATGTCACTTAAAGGACACAAAGTTTCAGTTAGACAGGAGGAATAAGTTTAGGAGACGTATTGTACAACACAGTAGTTAACAACTTGTATACCTGAAAATTGCTAAGAGGGTAGCTTGTAAATGTCTCTATCACAAAAAATGATTAAGTGTGAGATAATGGACATGCCCATTCATTGATTGATTCAGTCATTCCCCACAATGCATACATATATGAAAACATCATGTTGTATGCTATACACACATACACACACACACACAGATAGACATATATACACTCACACATACTTGTTGTCAGTTAAAAACTCAACACTGTATTGTATGCTATATAGATTAAACCTTTAATTTATGGTAGAAAATTACTATTATTTCCTTATAAAAATGAGATGAGATCTCTACTGTACTTTATAACTTCAAATTTTGCTTTAGAAATGTTTCAGATGAGCTGACCTTGCATATGAAATGTTTTTTCCTAGTTATGTGGCTGAGTTGCTCTTAGCATTTCTATCCTTCTGCCCTTTTGACCAGCTAGGGAGAAGGGTGAGATTTATGTTAGGGGCATGTTTTATCTTTGCAAACAGCACATCTGAGGGGCAAATCCATAACCTGGGCTTTATTAACAGCAAGATATGCTTAAAGTCTAACAAAATAGAATTGAAGTTTTCCACCTGGCTTACTTCTACTTATCCTATAAGAGGTAGCTTAAGTGTTGGATCCTGAGGGAAGTCTCCTTGAGCCCCCCGGCCAGGTTAGGTGCCTGTCTTCTATGTCTCTGTGTTAGCCAGCGCATATATCTGTCATTGCACTCATCATGATATACTGCAATTTTCTATAGGGAGTTCTGTCTTCTATAGTAGATGGTGAGTTCATTGAGGGCAGGACCCACATCAAATCTTAGTCAATTTTTTTAGTGCTTCAGTAATTAAAATGTCCTCAGTCCTTATTTGCTAAACTCAACTACAGCATGTATCATCTAATATTATGTTCAAAGTCCAAAATCAATCCTGAGGAATAAAATTGGAGACAAGGGCATGGGAGAGGATGTCTACAATGAGCCTTAATACTGCAGCTTCTCATTCAGCTCTCTGAAAAGAGGAGTCCCACATGAGCCCCGTGGTTCAACTCTAAGTGCAAACCTAGGCATCAAGTCCTCATTTCCAATGCACCAGAGACCAAATGAAAGAATGGAAATGGGACGTTTTACACACCACTGATTAGAAAAATAATGACAGATAATTTATACATGACTAACCTTTTGCAAAAGGTAAGAGGAAAAGTTGGGGCTCTCTTAAGAAAGAGCAGAAAAGTAGCCTACCTCCTCTGCTTCCATATACACATATCTTAAGACACTATGGTCACTAAGTTACCAGAACAAAAAATGAAGCAAAATCCCAGAAGGAGAACAAGGATGAAATACTTGGGGATGCAGATCTTACCAGGTGATAGAAGAGCCGTCCCCTAGGATGCCCTTGATCTCCTCCCGACATCTGTCCTGATGCTCAGGGTTCTGAGCCAGGCAGTAGAGGAGCCAGGAGAGGCTGGAAGCCGTGGTTTCGTGCCCTGCGGCCATGAACGTGTTCACCTCAGATTGGACGTCAGTATCTGAGAAGACATCTCCGTTTTCAGCCTAGTAAGCACAGTACAGATATATTTTTTATAAAATGTCAGCTTATAGATATTTGGCTATCCAATCAAAATAGTGATTTTAGGGGAAAAATTATTTTCAAATAAGGGTTTCAATTTTAATTCAGTACAATGAATATATACTATAAGCCAAATTTTGCCCAGAGCATAAAGGAGAACCAAGGTTAGAAAAGCAGGCCCTGAAAAGAGGTCCCCAATCACCAGGCCCTAGAAATTCACTTTGAACTCCTAGATATATCCAGATTTTCCAGGACCTCATCATAATCATTTTATGTGCTTAGCTTGTGACCATTTTCTTGTGATTCCCTGAATTCCATGTAACTATATAATAATTCCCAAATCCTGTCAAATCTATAATTTAGTCTCTACTGACTCTCTCTGGTAACACGGTTACAGAATTCTATCTTTACCCCAAACTGCATGGAGCCAACTCACCAATTCAAAGTACTATTAAATTTAGTCAATCAGTTTCGTTTTTGTCACCCTACACCCCACCTCATCCCCACTCACCCACCTACCCACACAAGTAACTGGCTGGTTGAGCAGGATCAGTAACTTGGAAGGTGTACCTGGGTAGAAAGGACGATGTCCAGAAAATCCTTGTACTTCCTCTTTTGAGTGTTGTTCTGCTGCTTCCCAGCCTTGAAGGATTCCTTTCTGTCCTGGATCATCTTTTCTGGGTAGAATAATAGTTCCCCATCACCAAAGTGACAGCAAAGTAAATCAAAGTCAAAAAAATTATAAAGCAAGCCATAGCCCATGAATAGCTCCAAATCTTGCTTGATTTCCAGAGACGAAAGTGAGTACATGATATTTAAATAGATTTAATTTTCACAGTTGGTTCCTCTCCCTGTAAAGTGGACTTTTGATGAAAGCTCCAAAAATAAACACAACAGACCCAAACATAGTTTATATCTAGTAGGTAGGCAATATAATTAAGATGATTTTAAATTTAGACTCAAAAAACCAATTGTTCTTTTCTTCTTCAGTCTAAAATCTTATCTTCATGGAAAAGTTATCAAATAAAATGGAATGAAATGGAGGACAGCAAAAAAAAAATGTCGATATATGTATATTGAAGGGGCTGAAAGAAAAAAAACAAACTAAAAATGTGGAATAGAGGTAATTTTTTTTTTTTTTAAGACAGAGTCTCACTTTGTTGCCCGGGCTAGAGTGAGTGCCGTGGCGTCAGCCTCTCTCACTCTCTCACAGCAACTTCAAACTCCTGGGCTCAAGCAATCCTACTGCCTCAGCCTCCCAAGTACCTGGGACTACAGGCATGTGCCACCATGCCCGGCTAATTATTTCCTCTATATATTAGTTGGCCAATTAATTTCTTTCTATTTATAGTAGAGACGGGGTCTCGCTCTTGCTCAGGCTAGTTTTGAACTCCTGACCTCGAGCAATCTGCCCGCCTCGGCCTCCCAGAGAGCTAGGATTACAAGCGTGAGCCACCGTGCCCGGCCTCTAGAGGTAATATTTAAAACCACAATTCCGGAAAGCTTTCTGGAAATAGGAGCAAATTTATATCTATATATCAAAGGACCCATCTTATACCTGGAAAAATTGGAATAAAATGGCCAATTCCATTACACATTCTAGTAAAACTATTTGACGTTAAAGACAGAAGAAAAATATTCTCAGAGACTCCAGACAAAAAGATCGAACCACTTTTTGGGGTGAGAAAGTTGGGCTAGCATCAGACTTGCCAGTGACAATAAAGAACTCAAGACAACGGTAGAGCATCTTAAGAAATTCAAGAAAGTATAACATAAGTATTTTACATCCAGACAAACTGCCCTTCAAGTGTTAAGGCTATGGAAAAATGGGTTTAAATATGCAGGAACTCAAGGGATGCTGTGGTTATGAGCCCTTCCTGAGGACACAGAGGATGAACTTCATCCAATCTAGAGATAACTGCAAGAACGTCATTAGAATAACTGAGGTGGGCATTTAAGAAATTTAATTCTAGATCTTAAACTAAAACAAAGATAGAGATCTGGGTGGAACAATAACATATGAACATTAAGAGTAAGAATCATGCAACTAAAAATATAACATATGGGAGAGAGAAAGGGGAAAGCAGAATAAGATCACCAATAGCTGTACAGGTAAGAAACGGAACTCAAAGGACATCATTTAAAACTGATAAACCATGAAATAAGCCAGTAACAAAAAGACAAATAATCCGATATGATTCCACTTAGATGGAGGTACCTAGAGTAATCAAATTCATAGACAGAAAGTAGAATGGTGGCTGCCAAGGGCTGAGAAGTGGGAAGAATGGGGAGAGAGTGTTTAATGAGAGTGGAGTTTCGGTTCTGCATGATGAAAAGAGTTCTGGAGATGGATGGTGTTGGCAGTTGTTCAACAGTGTGAATGGTCCTGGCGTGATGGTTCACGCCTGTAATCTTAGCACTCTGGGAGGCTGAGGCAGGCGGATTGCTCGAAGTCAGGAGTTCAAAACCAGCCTGAGCAAGACCGAGATCCCATCTCTACTATATATAAAAAGAAATTAATTGGCCAACTAATATATATAGAAAAAATTAGCCGGGCATGGTGGCACATGCCTGTAGTCCCAGCTACTCAGGAGGCCGAGGCAGCAGGATTGCTTGAGCCCAGGAGTTTGAGGTTGCTGTGAGCTAGGCTGACGCCATGGCACTCACTCTAGCCTGGGCAACAAAGTGATACTCTGTCTCAAAAAAAAAAAAAAAACAACAAACAAAACAGTGTGAATGTACAGCTGCTGAACTGTACACTTAAAAATGGCTAAGATGGTAAATGGTATATGTATTTTGCCACAATAAAAATTAATAACAAACCAGACAGCAAATGGTTAAGTATGGAAAAAAGGGAATTTTCATAAAAGGACTAAATACTATGGTAGCCATAGAACAAAAATATAATGTCAGAAGATATTACACTTAATAAAAAACAAAGAAGACATACCACATAGAGAAAGAAACAGTGTGCTGGATTGAAGAACATGCCCCCAAACTTTATGTCCACTTAGGACCTGTGAATGTGGCCTTATTTTGAAATACAGAGTTTGTAGAGAAGTACAGTCATGTGTTGCTTAATGACGGGAATACATTCTGATAAATGCATCGTTAGACGATTTCATGGTTGTGCAAACATCAGAGTAGACTTATACAAACCTAGGTGATACAGCCTACTACACGCCTGAGCTATATGGCACAGCTTATCGCTCCTAAGCTACAAACATATAAAGCATGTTACTGTACTGAATGCTGTAGGCTATTGCAACACATTGATAAGTATTTGTCTATCTAAACTACCTAAACATAGAAAAGGTAAAGTAAAAATATGGTATTATGATCTTATGGGACCAACATTGTATATGTAGCCTGTCATTGACACATTGTTACGTGGCACATGACTGTAAACAAGTTAAGATGAAGTCATATTGGAGTAAGGTGGGCCCTAATTCAATGATTGGCAACCTCATAAGAAGAGAGAAATTTGGAAAAAGATACATAGAGAGAAATCAATCATGTGAAGGCAGAAATTAGAGTCATGCAATTGCAAGTGAGGAAGTCTAAGGATTGCTACCAAACACCGGAAGGAGAAAGAAGAAGGAAGGATTCTTCTCTAGAGCCTTCAAGATGGAACATGGCCCTGCTGACACCTTGATTTTGTGCCTCTAGCCTCTGGAACTGTGATAGAGTAAGTTTCTGGTGTTTTGAGCCACCTAGCTTGTAGTTATTTGTTATGGCCTATCTCTACTAAGAAATTAAATCAATAATCAACAACCTTCCAAAACAGCAAAATCAGGCACAGATGATTTCACTGGTGAGCTCTACCAAACATTTAAGAAAGAAATTAAACCAATTTTCCACAATCTCTTCCAGAAAATAGAATCAGAAGGAATACTTTCATGGCTCATTTTATGAGGCCACCATTACCCTCATACCCAAACCAGACAAAGATATTACAAGAAAAGAAAACTACAGACCAATATCTCTCATACACATAGATGCAAAAATCTTCAACAAAATACTAACAAATTGAATCTAACAATAATTATACACCATGACCAAGTGGGATTCACTTCAGGTATGCAAGTCTAGTTCAATATTCAAATATCAATTAATGTAAAACATTACATCAACAGACTAAAGAAGAAAAATCATATGATCATATCAATACATGCAAAAAAATCATTTGAAAAAATCCAACAGTCATTCATAATGATTTAAAAAAGACCTCCCAGCAAACTAGGAATAGAGGGGGAACTTCCTCAATTTGATAAAGAACATCTACAAAAGCCCTACAGTTTACATCACACATAATGGGGAGAAACAAGATGTTTTCCTCGTAAGATCAGGAAGAAGGCAATGATGTCCTCTCTCACCAATCCTATTCAACATTGTCCTGGAAGTCCTAACTAATACAATAAGACAAGGAAATGAAAGGCAGACTAGGAAGGAAGAAATAAAACTGTCTTTCTTGGCCGGGCGCGGTGGCTCACGCCTGTAATCCTAGCTCTCTGGGAGGCCGAGGCGGGCGGATTGCTCAAGGTCAGGAGTTCAAAACCAGCCTGAGCAAGAGCGAGACCCCGTCTCTACTATAAATAGAAAGAAATTAATTGGCCAACTGATATGTATATAAAAAATTAGCCGGGCATGGTGGCGCATGCCTGTAGTCCCAGCTACTTGGGAGGCTGAGGCAGAAGGATCGCTGGAGCCCAGGAGTTTGAGGTTGCTGTGAGCCAGGCTGACGCCACGGCACTCACTCTAGCCTGGACAACAAAGCGAGACTCTGTCTCAAAAAAAAACAACAAAAAAACAAAACTGTCTTTCTTCATAGATGGCATGATTGTAGAATAAAAAATCCAGATGCAAGAAAATAAAATATTGATAAATTTGACTAAATAAAAATATACGATGTTGAAAAGGTTTTATTTTGAAGTTTTGAAAAAATTTAACATTTAGTATTTTCTCAAATTCTTTGCATTTTGTTTTTATCATGATATATAATATAAAAAAATGAAAAGAATTTTTTCACCAAGTTTTATGTAGCTGACCCCCAAAATCTACCCCTGATTACTCCTATGAACCATATAAATATTAACATTTTCTGTGTGGGCCATGATGCAAAAAGGTTTAAGGACTACTGCTATTATAATGCCCACTGGTATAAAATTGTTTCTGTCCTGCTTCTCTGAGTGTTTTCCTTACAATATCTACATGCATGTGTGTATATACATATATGTGAATGTGCATGTGTCAGTGTGTCTTGCAAATTTTCTGGGGGCAAAGGTATTTGACATAGTAACTATCCTTTATATTTAACATTTATTCAATGCCATACAGTGTCATAAATGCTTTATATATATATATGTTATATATATATATTCATCACCACAATAAACCTATGAGATAGGTTCTTTTTTATCTCCATTTTACAGATGACACAGAGATTAAGGAGTAACTTGTCCAAAGTCACGCTGCTAGTAAGGATGAAGGATTAATTAACTGCTTGATAAGTATTCTGTATCATGGTGTTCATGAATGGTAATGTTGAATTGCTTAAAAAGCTTAATCTACTTCAATTTTTGTGTCTATGTTTTGCTAAAACTATTTTTGAAGCAAGCTTCTTTTAAATGCATGTCCATGTTTACTGTTCCTATTCACTCCTATGTTGGATGAATGTTTTTATCTGGTCATTATCACTGCAATCACTGCACAAAAAGCCATATTCCATGTATAGTTTAAAATTTTAAACGCTCATCTGTTATATTCATATTAATAATAATTGTATATAGTAAAAATTATATAATATATAGAAAAGTTCTCATAAGATTACTATCATGGTTGTAGCAAAGTCTTCTGAAGGACTCAAGTTGTATTTCATTGGAGCAGTGTCCTCATAAATGCTCCATTAAGAACAAATATTCTTTTTCTTTTCACATTGAAGTTCTCCCTCTAGAGAGGCACAATACAGTCATGACGGTGTATGGACACGGCCACCTAGATTGTACAAATACCTGTGTACTGATGCACCACTTGGATTAACTTCTGGAAGTAGTGGCCCTTAGGGCTGAGTTTGAAAAGCAAGTCATGGTGATACCAGAAACTGTATATTCTGTTACGTATAATTCTGCCGATTTGAAACGTGGCTTTTACATAAGGATCATGGGTGCTAGAGGAGAAAGTTGGGACAACGTGTTAATAAATGGTTTAGAGAATGGTGAGCAAATATCTTTTTTGCTCTTCTGTCACTGACCTGTTTGTCTGGCAGTTGGACTCCTGGCTGAAAGCACATTTCATGATTGTATCCAGAGCCAACAAGTTGATGTGCTCATAAACGTCCACGCTTGTGTTCTCAGTGCCGCACAGCTTCTCCCACTTATCCTGGCATAGGAGGTCAAGGTCAACATCCTTACCACCATTACCCTGCCTTTGTTTGAAGGCTCCTCCCTGACTCTGCCCTTATGATCTAAGGGAAACAACCCTGACCCAGATTGAACCAAAGGTCACATGAGGAAATCAGTCATGTGCTTACATTGGGCACAAGCAAGGGAAACAGGCACCCAGCTAAGTAAGAAAGAGCAAACTGCATATCTGGTAAATGGCTGTGGTAAGGAGCTGTGGCTTTTCAATTATTACCATAACTCTGCTTTCAGACGGACCAGAGTTCCAGTAAAACACACAATCAGTGATACAAGACCCATAATTACAAGGGGTTTCCCTAGGGCTTCTTCCATCTTCAGTTCCCAGCTTGCTAGATATCACTCTACTATTCTCAACCACTGTAACCACACTTAAGCTTGGAACATTTTCAAAAACATTTCAGATCATCCAGAAGCGGGGGACAGAGACGTGGTGTGGAGAGAAGCCGCCACCAGGAGCCCACTCCTAGCCAAGCACAGCCTGTGCCCACCTGACGTCCCCGCAAAAGGAGACCTGCCCTGAAATGCTTGGCCTGCTTTTTTTTTAGAACTGCTGCAAAGTTCCCCAGTTGAAAATGTATTTGTCAGAATAAGCATTCTTTGTGTAAAAGCACAAATGCATTGAAATGTTTAAATTCAGTTCAACCTACACTTGTTGAGTACCTATGGGCACTGAGCTTGGTGCTAAGGACTTGGAAGCCACAAATAAAAGGCAAAGAGAGTTTTAAAAACTTTTACCTAAATGTCAATCGTTTAGTCAAATAGCTTTCATCAGAACCATGTAAGTTTTACTGAGTATAAATGGTGAGTTTAGAAGAAATGCAAGCAAAGGCAAGGCTTCTGCGCTCGAGGCACTGAGTCTGGAACAATTCGGCAGAGGAAGAGGGAGAGAAAACCCAGGGAAATGTGTGGCTGAGAAATGAGGAGGGCAGAAATTGCTCCTGAAAGTGGAGAGAAAACCCAAATACAGTCACTGCTGGATTGAAATTGTGCTGAAGCCAGTCAGCAACCAGAGTGGAAAGGGGATGCTTTCCTCCTTCTCTGTCTTGCACCTTGCGGTCTCCAGGTCTCTGCCTCGAGGACTCGCACCATGTTTTTAATCACAATCCCGGCAGACTTCAGTTCAATCTGCTTCTGTGAGCTTGGCTGAGAACCACCCAATGAGCTGCTAACAGTGGTTCCTCTGAGGACAGGGGTGGGTTTGCAGATGATGAGGGAAACTGGCTTTCGTTTTAATGTGTTCAAAGCATTTATGATGAAACTGTATTAATTAACTACATCTGTGATTTCCAAATAAATACGATTTAAAAGTTTAAAACCATTGTACAAGTAGAGTTTTGGAATAGAACTCATTTATAAATCAGACACTGCCCACTGGAATGTTCCTCTACGATGTCCTTTTGCCTCTTTGGAAGGTTCAGGTCAGTGCCTAATGATCCTCCACCACTTACAAGAGGAAACTCACATTTGCAATTTTAATACAGACAGTGTTCTTTGCTCAGTCCTTTATGGCCATCAGGCAAGTCCATGTAAACCTCCAAACCTTTGTTCAAGCTGATTTGCTTTGCTTCAAATTCTCTCACCCATATTATCTATGTATTCAAGTCCAGCTTAGATTTCACGGTAAATTTGAGTCTCCTCTGAATCTGAAGCTGCAATAGCTGTTCCTGCCTTTCTTATCTATCGCCTACAGCACTGTCTAGAATCTCACCACTTGGTACTTGGTTTATTATCATAGGATCTCAAAATATATCAAAGACAGAGGCCCAGATATATATTTTTTAATCACCCAAAGAACATAACAAAGGCTTACAGACACCTATTGCTCATGGGTACTTGTACATTGGTTAATTTCTAGAAATCATTGCCTTGATTTTCACCACCCACTAAACATATGTCTAATACCGTCCCTGCTGGAAGCATTTCGAGATGCACCGGAGTACACCCATCTCTCACTCACCAGCATCGTGTTTACAGAATGGGCTATCACCTCAACATAGGTTTTCAGGATGTTAAAGTGGAATCCAGGAGTTAGTAGGCGGCGGTGCTGGAACCACTTGGGCCCTTCTAGATTCAACAGTCCTTTTCCTTGAGAGATAAAAGGCACATACCATTTTATTATTAAACAGATGAGATGAAGAAAGAGAGATGAGAAGCACAGACAGCATGGAATGACCATGACCATAGGGAGTCAGGAAATAGTGGAACATCAAAGCAGTTCCCATGTATTAAGATGGAGGTGCATTTTGATGCTGACATGTAGGATAGATGTATTTAACATTGAGAGAGTTTCATAGGCTGATAAGCTTCAAAGCCTGATAAGATGAGAGTGCTAATCCTGAAATCACCAATCACTACCTATGTAGTAATTAAGTAATGTAACCTTCCTTGGTTTTCTCAACAATGAAGTGTGATAATAAATACCTACTTCATTCATTGTGTTGCTGTGCATATTAAATGAAGCTGCAACCTACTCCCTCACACTAGAAACACAACAAATGAATTCATCTCCTCTCCACTCCAAACCCATCCATAAACTACTCTGAGCAAAATTCACAAAAAACTAGGCCAGAGTGTCCACTCTGTCCCCAGATGTCCCTCCTTGAGCCCTGGTCTTTGAATGATATTAATACAAAGTGGAAACACTTATCGAGGCCAATGTTTCACTATCTTTTATTGCTAGAGTAGCCACTAAGGTTTGGCTTTAAAAGGACTTTAAAGTTTATTATTAATAATACATAATTGATACCATTCATTGAGTGCTTCCAACATGCCAGGCTTGTGAGGCACGCATGATCTGGTGTGGGTGCAATGCCAGCCATCACATTAAGTGCTGAAAATACGCATTTCTTTTGATCCTCACACCAGCCCACTGATGTTACTCTCATCCTCATTTTCAAAATTGAGGAACCTGAGTTGTAGAGAGATTAAGTGACTTCCTCAAGATCACATTCAACTAGTCAGTGTGGGAAGGAACAGGATTCAAATCTAAGTGTTCGGAATCCAAGCTTATAGTTTTTATTGAATTCCTTCCTTGTCTAACATAAATACCTGTTGTATGATTAAAGAGCTTAATTTATCTGTTCACAGAATATTGCTAAACTGTACTTTAGAGCAAAATTTTACTGGTTTGTGTATGTAAATAAAGGAACTCCAAAAAGAAAGGAAAAGATTCAAGAAATCAAAAGAGAAGAAAGGATAAAAAAAGATAATAGGGATGGTGAGACTGCAGTTTTAAAGAGAGAGATGGGGGAAGATTCCCACATCTGCTATCTTGAGAACGGGACTTTGGAGAGAAAAATGGACAAAGAGACTTTCCAGAATGTTGTGCTGTGTTGACCTTAGAGTTTCCCTTTGACCTTTCCCCTAGATTACTTTCAGTGTAGGTATTCCTCACTCTTAATGCTTTTGAATTCAGAATTTGAGTTTCTCTGGGATGCTTGACTATGGAAAGGAGACTTTAAACAAGAGTGGGTTACATCGCTCATTTACACATACATACCAAGACATGGGATTATGAACTTGTACAGGTACTGGGACTTGGGGTCTGCAGAATCAAGCAGAAGAAACAAAAGACGGCATTAGAGGGAGCGTTCATTACCAATTAAAGTTGGCACAGTTTTCTCCATTTGCCTGCAGTAACCACAGATAGTGAGCAAGAGGGAACCCAGGGCCCACACCCTTGGCAGCCTGGGGAAACCAAACGTCTGGGTTCAGGTATGAGAGAACAGCAAGCCCTATGGGACAGACAGGTACACAAGCCCAGATTCTTCCTTTGTTTACACTGCCTTCAACAGAAGCAGAGATTGCCTGAGGGTTGAAAAGTTTCCAGAATAGGAGTTGAGACATCATATATCCTTTATGGAGGGCAAATTAATTATTAGAGCCGGGTCCGGCAGACCCGGCTCTAATAATTGGTAATGAGGCCAATGCCTCTTGGTGTTCTTGTGAACCCTGACGTGCAGGTGTTTTACAGCTCTTGTCTTTAATAGGTAGGTTAACATGGAGCAAATCCGAGAAGGGGGACTGGGAACACAGAGTGGTCAGGGAAAGCCCATTTTCTTCTATTAGGTTTTGTTAAGGGTTAGGGATACAGTGGCACAGGAAAGAAGATTAGAATACGAGACCTTGGCTTTACAAAGTTGATCGAGCAAAAACTGGATGTTTTAGTGTTGCACTATGAAACAATCCACAATGAAAGTCTTGAAAAATGACTGGGTATGGGAGGTAGACGACTCATGCCCCCAAAGGGAACAGAGCTGAGAAATATGTAGAGAGGAAAACCAAAATTTAGATCACAATCAACATGTTCAACTGGTAAATGAATGATATAGCATCCAGGTTTGCATTGACCAGCAGAGGCACGGTGCTTTCTGATTCCCCTGAAGACTTATGCTCAACGCAGGGGGTGGGGCTAGGGAGTGTTGCCGACACTGAAGTCACAAGACCAAGAGAGGCAAAGGAAGCCGTGGCAAGGCTGGTAATGCCAGCTGGGCTTTAAGATACACGGACCTCAAAGGGGCCACGGAGTCCTGAATGAGACAAGGGACTGAGGAGGACATGGGAAGCCCCTTCAGTATTTGCAGGAAACCATACTTGCTCCAGTGTCTCTATAAGGCTCAGTACTAATCTTTGCTTCAGAATCCTGCCCATGAGTTCTGTGCTTTCCACTCCCAGGAGGATTAGGTCCCTTTTCCTACCTGTTCTGCTCAGAAATGTCTTTGCATAGTCTGGGTCATAGATAAAGAAAAATGCCTCAAAAGGCCCAATCCAGCAAGGGAAGGCACGAGGGTATTTTTCAACAATCTCGTCTATCTTCTCCATTTTTTCATCTTGAAAAATCTGCAGTGGAAAAAGGAAAGGAAATTACAGAACCAGCCAGGCTGGACTTGTCCCCTCTTACACACACACACTGAGTTTAGGGTCTGGTTAAGGTTGCACAGGATAAGGTCAGAGCCTGACTGTTTTTCTGGTAGTCAGTGAACATGCTTTCTTCGGGATTTCTAAACTTGAGGGATAATTTTCTAAATAAGGTTAGTGTATTTGTCTTCTCAATATAAACAATGTATATAGCACTCTGGGAGGCCGAGGCGGGCGGATTGCTCGAGGTCAGGAGTTCGAAAACAGCCTGAGCAACAGCGAGACCCCGTCTCTACTATAAATAGAAAGAAATTAATTGGCCAACTAATACATATATAGAAAAAATTAGCCGGGCATGGTGGCACATGCCTGTAGTCCCAGCTACTTGGGAGGCTGAGGCAGGAGGATTGCTTGAGCCCAGGAGTTTGAGGTTGCTGTGAGCTAGGCTGATGCCACGGCACTCACTCTAGCCTGGGCAACAGAGTGAGACTCTGTCTCAAAAAAAAATAATAATAAAATAAAATAAAATAAACAATGTATAAACAATGTTGTACCCCTAGACTGAGTCATTGTCAAATAACTTAAACTGTGAGCTGTTTTCCCAACAGAGGGAAAAGTGAGCTGAGTCGCACTCTGTCTTACCTGCTAACATCACACTCAGATTAGGAGTGGGGTCTGGAGGTTAAAAAGATTTCTTTCCTACACAGGAAACTGTTAGTAATTGAACATGACCCACCATTCAGCTTACCAGTCCTTCTCCCTGTTCCAATCAGTAATTCTTTCTCATGACTTAATAGTAAACACTTCTCTCTAAAAACCTGCCAACTCTATCTACAAAGAAAATCCCAAATTTTCTCCCTATAGCAGTAGAAGTCCCATTTACCCAGATGTGTGAAGCTTGAAGCATTGAGTTTGCTCTCGGCTTCCAACATCTATGAATGAGAGTGCAAATACTACTATAAGAGAAGCACTTTTTACTTTTATAAACAGATTACTAATAGCTCACTTAAACAGTTTCTCTAAGTCACTGAAAATAAGATTCATTTACATTTGCTTCTTACATAAAGTAGGGGGCATCCATATGTATGTGTTTCAGCATGCCCATCTATACACTTAAACAACACTGTGCGGGTCCCTACCTGCAAAACAACCTTAAGGCTGGCAAATTCTTTCTCATGTTCTTAGCCTTAGCAGAGGTGGAAAGCGCTGGCTTCCACTCTCCTCTGTTATCACTTAGCAATCTGAACCCATGAAGTGTTCTTTGGCTAGTAAGGCCACTGAAAGGTTGAGTCTCTTGAAATCTAGTTCCTGAAATGCTGCAGGCTCTTTTTGGCCAACATTGCCATGACCAAGCCAGTGACTAGTGCCCACTGACTACCCTGAGTGGTGGTTTCCAACAGTGTGAATATTTTTCATTTATTCATTCATAAACAAAAACAAACAAGTATTTATTGAGTACCTATTACATGTATCAGGTGATAAAGATACACTGAAATATAAGAAAGGCAAGATCTTTGCTCTCATGGAAATTATAAACGAATATGAAGATTTTTTTTTTTTTTGAGAGTATCCAGAAACAGTATGAAGATATTTTGTTTAGGTAAAAAATTGTCATAGGCACCCCCAGCTACATGAAAGTATTTGTTTACACTTTTCACAACTTTTGACTGGATAGAAATGACAGAAAGCTATTTTAAATCTTATATTTAAGTTAAGTTCTATTTCTTCATTCCCACAGCAACACCTAAATATATTTTTAAATGGGTATTACACACATTTAGGAAACATTGTTCAGAAATGTTCAGAAAATGCATATTGCCTCTAAAATAGTAATAGCTAATATTTATCAAACACTGCTATGAGCTAGTGCTGCTAAGGGTTTTCCATGTTTTATGTTATTTAATATTTACATCAGGAACCCTGTGAAGTACATACAATTATAATCCCCATTTTACAGATGAGGAAATTGAGCTTTAGAGACTAGGTTAGGTAATTTGCCCAAGGTTGTACAGTTGGCAACCGGTAGTAGGACTCAAACTCAGGTTCAACTATAGAGCCCAAGTGCTTTACCACTTAGCTACATAGATGTTCCCTGCATTATATCCAAGTATACACACATACATGCAGAAGACACACCTGCACATATACACCCTAGGTCCCACAGACTGGCTGGGATTTATTGACCTACTGAATAAATGTCAAACTATGCTTGAATATTTGGATATGATTGAATATTTGGAATGATTTTTGAGATATGTTTGACAGATCTAAAGAGCATTTGGGAAAAAATAGTGACAGATATTGAAAAACAAAGCAGATGAGAAAAAGAGGAAGATAACAATACCATAAGGGTGGGGGGAAAGCTTATGAGAAAAGGAACAAAATCAAAGGGGACCATTTAGATCAGCAGTAAATAGTCAAAATAATACAAATACTAATTGTTCTATTTAATTAAAAAATTCAATATAACTATATTGGGACAGTGGAAGACGAGGTGTAAGCGGTTACTTGTCATATAGAAGTTCATAGATGGATGTCTAAAATTAGTAAATTAATAAATGCAATATAGTAATATTATTTTACAAGTAAGGATTTAAATACCGGAAGAAATCTATAAAAGAGTTGAAAGTGGTTGCTTTAGGGCAGGAGGACTAGGCAGTGGAAGAGCCCAAGGATCATGCAGTGTCTCAGCTGGGAACACCCTCCCCTCACTGCTGGTCCTTTGAGATTCTGCTAAGCCGGTCACAGTCTTTCTTTCCTCCCCCAGGGTGGAGACTTACACTCCACCTCTACTAAAGCACTCATCACCCTATATTTTCATCTTCTCTTTGTGGCCTAAGTCTGCACCTGCCTTAGGCCCCTTGAGGGCAAGGACCCACCTTGTTTTTGTAATCCTAGCACCTATCACACAACTGCCACTCAGAGTTGGCTGAATGCATAAAAAAATGAATTGGGGTGAGAGTGGATTTAGAGAACAGGAAATACTAAAAGGTAACAGTCTCTCTACACATATCCATCAACCAATATATTTTGAGTAGTTGGCTGGGGCCACTCCCTACTCACAAGAATCTTAAGAAAGTAAAGTTAATTTTCTTTGGTAAGAATGGACTAAGGATGGCAACTACTGTGTCCAATTTTGCATATTTTCTGTCATTAATATGTATTATTTAGAATAACATACTATTTTTTAAGCAATGCATGTAGAAGACTTTTTACAATTCCCTGTATAAATACAAGACATTGGTGGAACAATTAGAGGCAGACCTGAGTTAAACCTTGCTCTCTTTTTCAATATTCAGGCTCTTTAAATAGCTCTCTTCCAGCCCCGAAAGCTTCCTCGCTAGTGACCTTTCCCTGCAGGGCTGCGGGAGAGCAAGTCTAGAGCAATGAGAAGATGCTGAGAGCCACAGGCTGGGCTAGGGCGGGCTGTGCAGGACACAGGGTCCGGAGGGAGGGAAGGGAGCCGCCGCCTTGCCCGCCAACGCCTTCCTCTGCAGCGTGGTCCTCCGCCCTTCCCTTCCGCCTACCTTCTGGTGCCCATGGAACCAGTGGGTGGGGGGCGCGGGGAAGGCGCGTAGGTCCCGCTGCAGCCGCAGCCTCCGGAGGTAGAGCTTGATCGCCTGCAGCAGCGCCAGGGCCAGGCAGAACACGAACGCCAGGTAGAAGGGCCGCGCCCAGCGCGTCTCCAGCCAGGAGGTCTCCATCGCTCTGCGCAGCGGCAGAGCGCAGCGGTCTCAGGATGGGCGAGGGATCTGGCAGAGGATGGATCAGCCAGCCGCCGCCCCTCTGAGCCCTTGGTGATGCTCCGGCTTCCTGGGGAAGGAGGCAGCGCAGTGGGAGAGGCAGCTCAGGCGCGGGGAGAGGCAGGCGCGTGTACCCGGATTTCTAACCGGTTACCTCCGGGAGCACGCCTTGATTCAGGACGACTGCTCTCACCCTCCTGGAGTGGCGTTTTTTAAGTGGGACAGTCTTCCATCGCGGGAGATCTGAATTTATAATTAGAAATAATGCCAAGGATGAGGTCATTGTTTTGCTGTCCCAAATGAATAATAAACTCCTATGCAAAAAAGGCCTTTTCCTCTTTGGCATTCAAAACGCCCAGGGGCAGGGGTGGGAGGAGGTGCATGACCATTAATTATATTTACACTGCGCAGTGTTGCGCCGGTAAATAGTGTACAATTGCTTCCCACCCTGTTTCAAGCGTGTACCAACGTCCCCCACCGGCTACTTCCAGTTGCAATTTGAGGGTACTGAACACTGAATTGGGAAGTGATACATAGTAGCATACTATTATATAGTATTTCCACCACACAGCTACAATTAGGGCCTACTACATAATTTATGAATCCCAGCACAAAATGAAAATGTGGGATTAAAAATTTATTAACAATTTTAAGATAGCAACAGCAGAGCTTTAAACCAAGCATATGCCCTTCTGAGTTCAGGGCCTCGTGTGACTGCTCACGTTCATGACCATGAAGCCAGCCCTAGACACAAGGGACATAAACTCAAGAGTGCAGATAATATTAAGATGTAGTAAAATAATTAAAAAGTAATGTTTTCATCATTTATTACCTATCAGGTGGCAAACTAGGATCTAACAGGCCTGACTTCCCAAGCTGCTGTTCCCCACCCTCAGCTTTCTTTGTAGGCATTGCCCACAATTCATTCATTTATTGAAATATTTATGCCAAGACAGGCATATATTAGGTGTTGGATTGGCAGGCCTGAGCAGTGAATCCAATCTCTGCTACAACTCCCTGTTCTTCTCCCTGTCCCTGTCCACCCCCACCACCCCACTCCTCCACCTCACTCCTCTAGCCCAGTCTCTGGAGCTGGGTTTTGTTCAGCAGCTAAGCGGCTAAAACAGACTCCAGGGGTGGTGACTTCACCTGGACCATGTACCTCCTGGCCCTTCACATGTTCCATTAAGCCACACACAGTAAGTGTTTTAGCTCCTTCCTCCCCTTCCTCCACTCCTCAACCAGATATTATTTGATGGTGTCTCAGCATCTTCTGATTTGCACAGTTTCTTCTGGGTAACACAGGGCATTTTAGTTTTTCAGATTCTTCCTCTGTTCCCTGCTCCTTCCCCAAATCATGATGGTTGTATTGTGGCCATCATATGACCACATGGTCACAGGGCTAAAGACCTCAGGTCCGTGTTCCGCCCTCAGGATCCCAGCTGGTCTCAGCTTCATGATATCTAGCCTGGTCTGGTCCCTGGGTCCTTTGTACTGACTGAGGAATAATAGGATATGGCTGTTGAATTTCTAGTGAGTTCTCTTGGCAGGGTCAGAGCCTGGGGACTCTAGCTCACCCAGTCCTATTCAGGCTCTTGCTGGTGGTGTGACTTCCTCTGAGCCTTGTGCAGTCCATGTGGTAACTCCACTGCTCCAGGGTCAGTTGCCCCTGTCTGTACCATTCCATGTCCTTCCTTGGGTAACAGAAGATGTTTTTGTACTGCACCCAGGAGCTTGAGGGGCTCAGCCCTTCTGTCTGCTTCACTGCCATTTTTATTGGTTCCTCCCCAGAAGGACACAAGGCAAGACCCCCCCTGTGCTCTCAACTTTTCCTTCAATCTATCCAAACCTCCATGCCCAGGAGTTTAGCCTAGAGGGGAAAAATCAGATACTCACCTGACCACCACAGATACTTCCTGACCCCTGCCACTTCTTGCCTTTGTGCACCGGGCTACAAAGGCAAGGCTTTCCCCAAACCTCCATTTCACATGTAGAAAATGTCTTTATGTTATTGTCTGTGTTCTCTCAGCCCCGGGTAGAGAGTGAAGATCTATAATCTACTCCAACAGGGCATCTTAATGAGAGATAAAGGAATTTAGAAAATTACTTATTCTGGCCAAGGACTGGTTTTCAATAATTACTACAACTCAAAAATCCTATTCCAAAAGTGGAGTAGTGACTCCTTCCTTCTCTTAACTTTCTTGCTCAAATGACCCCTGAATTGAATTTTCTTGACTCCAGTACAGGGGGTTGGAGACACAGAGAAAACCTGATCAGCATGGATAGTGGTGCCTCTAGGAGGAAACAAGCCCTGTGAGACTCCCAGAAAAAGTTCTGCATCTCTCCCAATGGGCCCTTCCATGTCAAACACAGAGATGAGAAGTGAACCGTATCGAGAAGCAGAATCGATCCTGCACACAGCCCAAAGAAAACCAGACATTGTCTACAATCAGGGCAGTGAAAGGTAACTAACTGTTGACCAAAATTATAATAACTCAGTATGGTGACATATGTCTTCTATCCACTAAAATGAGGAAATATATTATTACTTAATAATATATGAATTTTAATAGATAAAATATTTCAGAACATGGAATCATAGGGATAAAAATCTAAAGGTTCGTGGAGCTGGATCCCAAGATAGCAATGCAGCCCACCAGTGAGGGATTCCAGAGATTCACTGCTCTCTGATTTGCTCCTGCACTCTGTTAGTAGACATGGGCTGAATATTCACTGTGTCCCAGGTCCTGTGCTGGGCACCTGCTGGGAACTCGTAGTGCAGAAGGGAGGCAAGGGTCACCTAAGTACTATTAAGGCAATTGTCATAGAAAGTGGTGCTGATATCCATAGCAGACAAAGGCAAGAGTAATGAACTTTGTCAAGGCTGGAGGGAGGGAATGCAGATGAGGAGAGGATGCAGGAAAAGTTTCATAGTGTAGGAGATGCTTTCATTCATTCCTTCATTTACTGAGTGGCGTTGCCCTGAGTGCTGGGGATGCAGCCTTGAGCAGAACTGACATGGCCTTGCCTTCATGTGGCTTAGGGTCTAGTGGGGCTGTGTCTTAAAATGTCAGAAGGCGTCCTCTAGGTGTAGACAAGATGGGAAAGGGCATTCTACAGGGCAGACAACTGTGTGAACAGAGCATAAAACAGCCTGAGCCCACTGGACTGTGGGAGCTGTTCAGCATGGCTGGACCTTCAGGTCTCAGAAAGAAGTGTGGGTGCTGAGACCACATGCAGGGCAAAAGTCAGACAGTGAGAGCTTGGTAGGCCCAGTTAAGAAGTTCAGACTTAAAGCTATGGGAAGTCACTGAAGGGATTTAAGATGGAAAATGATATAATTAGATAGCAGATCACTCTGACAGCTATTTGGAAGATAATAATGGAAGCTAAATATTTATTGTGTCCTTACTAAGTTCCAAGTACTATTCTAAAGTGGTTTACATTAAGTTGCTTAATCTTCATAATAAATATTTGAGGTAGGTGTTATCATTGTCCCATTATGTGGAAACTGAGATGCAGACAGATTATGCAATTTTCCCAAGGACAACAGGGTCAGTATTTGAATCCAGGCAGTCTAACTCCAGGTCCTGAGAGGTTAATGGTTATGAAAGTAAACTGGGGGGAGGGGAGGTGGCAGTAAGACTGAACTAGGGAGGCCAGTCTAATGTTACTGCAGTATTCAGATAAGGTATGACAGTGGCCTGGACTTGGGGGTTGCAGTGGAACAGAGAAGCCAGAAAGGATGAGGGAGATATTAGGGTGTGTGTTTGATGGAAGTTGGTGATTGGATGTGGGTGCAGTATGGAAGAAGTCTAGGATGATCCCTGTGTTTCTACTCACTGAGATAGGAAAAGCAAGAAGAATCTATCTTCTCAAATCACACGTCATCCCCACCCTCTCCTTACACATCTTCCGCTCTTACAAAAGTGTTCCCCAAGACTTAACTCTTCCTCAATCCCTTCTCTAACCACTCAGCCCATGGAATCTACTCTATGAATAATTAAAGTATTTGTGTTTATACCTCCCATTCCACATGTCATTCATTCATGTTTTCATGTGTAATTCATTCTACAAACAGAAATCCTATGTAGCCTCCTTGTGTATCTCTTTGTATAGTCAATTTATCTTCCTCATTAGGTTTTAAAATTCCATGATGGCTCAAACTTTTTTTTTTTTTCATTTCTTAGGTTCACTTGGAACCCGCCTTTAGGCTGGGCAGACAATAAATGTTTTATGAATAGTCATCTAATTCACTTACACGAGGGAGACTTCCTGGGGTCAGAGAGATTTAATAAAGAGCAAGATGAGAAGCACAGAACAGTGACCTACAAAGCAAGTGGTCAATGAAGAAATGGTGACATCCCAGGTCAAGCAGTTTGCCTGCTAAGAGAATAAATAGAAGGTAAGTGAACAGAGGAAGAATAAAATAAAACGATGGTTATTCTTAAGACAGGGAGCCTGAAACTCATTCTTCAGGGAGCTGGCACCAATGGAGAGCAAGGATGGAAGGTGCTGAGAGAGGGACAGTAAGAGAGAAGAAACAGGGCCAGAGAGGCTGAAGGGAATGACTGGGGCATTGAGTAGAATGGATGAGCTAGATGGGTGGGGCACAGAAACTTCATGGACAGCCAGCCCTAGACCTGTGTATGGAGGCATCAAGGCTAGGAAGTGATTACTTCATTCTGCCCTTAACACAGTAGTTACTTTTGAAGGGGTTCAATGTGGGAAGACCAACACGGAAGCATAAGAGGAAGAATGGAGAGGAGGGAATGGACAGATTAGATCTCTGAAGCCAGATAACCTGTTTTGTTAGAGGATCCTGAGGCATCTTCCGCCATGGCAGGGGCAGGGAGGATTGAGTGCCCAAGCAGAGTAGAGAGTTGGAACAGCTGCTGTAGCTATTGCTGGAGGGGAGGGGTATTGGCAAACTGTTGTGAAACTTAGGAATGAGTTGAGTTTACATAGCAGGTTCCATGCAAAAGGTCCCAGGAACCTAGTTCCATGATTTCCTCCTGCAACAGCCTGGAGGTAAAAGTAGGGAAAGTTTCAGGAAGGAAGCATAGAGCCAGTCCCCATCCTCACTGTGCCTCACTGTCCGTCTGCCAGTGCTGGGCAATGCCAGGATATAAAGACGGATCCATGGTCGGCCTTTTCCTGGGGCAGTTCCTAATCTGGAGGAGGACACGGATGGATAAACACAGCAGTGCAATGCATAAATTCTACAGTTGGACCCATTGGGTTATCTAGACCTAGTCCTGTCTTATGAATAGGGAAATTAATTCCAAAAAATTAAAAGGGCCGGCCCTAGGCCTCTTCTTTCCAGACTGAGAATTCCAAGGTCCTTTTCCTTTCTCCTTCTGACCTGTAGGCCACAGCTATGCTGATCTCCCCAGTTTCTTTGAAGGACACAGTGAACCAGGGAAACTTTTGAATGTGTCCATTAGTGTTGCTCTGTTACTTTGAGTAGTTCCAAAAACTGGGTAGAGAAGTGAGAGCCTCCAGAAGAGAGGGAAAGAAGCAGGCAGAGAGGTATGAAGGAGACCAGGAGCACCAAGTGTGGAGGAAGACAAGGAGAGAACACTGGAACATGAAACGAAAGATGAATGATGAGTTAAAAAACAAAGATAAAAGTTTAAAATGTGTTTATTGGAATTAGTATCATGGAAGTCTATTGTAAACTTGGGAAGAGATGGTGAAATCATAGAAATAGAAACCAAAATAAAGTAGGTTGAGAAGCGAATATGAGGGCA